GCAAGTGCAAGGTGATAAAATAAAGCATTCTTACAATCCTATAAGACTTTAATTTCACTTCAATGCTACTGTGACTTGACTGTTAGTGTTGCTCTCTACCTATTGCCTATTGCAACTTATTCAAAATTCTGACCAAATTGCAATTTGTTTAATAAAAACCAAACTGTTTAACTGGTAAGAAACTTGAACAAACTGCTGTAGAAACCCTGAGTCAAGTCGTGAAAGTGCAAGGTGATAAAATAAAGCATACTTACAATCCTATAAGACTTTAATTCCACTTCAATGTTATTATGAAAAATTAGTCTAACAGTTTGTATAGAAATTTTATTGTTATTGTCATGCTAAAGGTTATAGGTAGTAATTTTGAATGGCTATAAAAATGTCCAAACTCAGCTTTCATGCAATTTTTCTTTCGAAAAGTCTTCTATTTTCATAAGAATCAGACATCATTTGAATTAAAAAATGTTACCTTCAGTAAAATATGTGTGAAATTACAATACGTTGTTGGGAAGTTTCCATGGTAGATAATCAATTTTTCTTTCGAATAGTCTTTTATATTCAAAAGAATAATGTTTTAGGTTATCTCCCATGGAAACTTATTTACAACGTATTGCAATTTCACATATATTTTACTGAATATAAGATGTTTTAATTCAAATGATGTCTGATTCTTATCACCTTTAGCATGACAATAACAATAAAATTTTGATACAAAAGAAAATTCTGAATTGTTTACGGAGAATATATCGTCTAAATATATACTTCGATTGTTCAAAATATCTATCATGTTGGGGTCTTATGAAGCAATGTCATCAAATGGAAGATAAATTCAGGAACCAGTTGATTACCAATACTCATTAGTCGCTTATGGAGAAACAAATCTAGGTAATAAACAAAAACTGAAGTAATCGTATGAACTCAAAAAGTGAGCGCGATTAAATGGGTCGACGGGTAAGCGTCTACTGATATGCATGCATCAACCGCCATGCAAATCCACAATTGGTCAAAATGTCATAATGGTAAATAAGACACAATCGGTAAAATTACAGATCAGACTACTATTTTGGTATCTAAAGTTGTGCGAGCGCAACAAACATTCTGGTTGTAAGTTGAGACACAAACATATCGTATCGGTCAACCAATTCGTGTTGTATCCGTTAAACTTATGTAGTGTCGATTTCGGACGTTCTTCTTCATAACTCTGTCGGAACACGTTATGTGTAAGGATCACAAACTTGTTAATTCAAATTGCATAATGTACCATGAGGGTCTAAATGGGATTTACATTTTGAATTATTTTACACGTGTCATTTCTGGGCCTTTTATAGCTGACTATGCGGTAGGATTTGCTCATTGTTGAAGGCCGTAACCTATAGTTGTTAACTTCTACTTCATTTGGTCTCTGGTAGAGAGTTGTCTCATTGGCAATCATACTACATATTCTTAGTTTTATATTGGATAAGCGTCTTTCCTTTGTATCAATTTTCCCCCATGAGAGTTATGATATATCTACTCTGTGTAAAACACTACCACATTATCTTAGCAATGAAATTATCTTACAATGAAACTATGCGTAAGTATATTTGATGTAGTTACCATTCATTCCTTTTTCAGTAATAAAACTTATAAATCGATAAACATTACTGCATATATGCAGATGATTAACAAGTATATTGAAAGAAATTATCATTGAAATCATTGAATAATTACGGCACCAACTTTTGTTTCATTTGTATTTGTAGAAAACATACAGTGGGCAAATAAAACAAATAATTTGTCAATATAAAGCTAATAATAGCAAACACTTTCGAAGGGTATGTGCCTCATTCTATGAATGCTCCATCTTTTATGTTGCGTAATGGTCAATGTCTGTATTGCCTCAATGTTAGCAAGGTTAACACTTGATTGCAATCGTGATGATTTTAACAATACATGATCAATTTAAATCACAGCTTTTATATTTCAATAGAATTTTCCCTCCGTCTGCTGTAACCCAACTTTTTTCGCGGATACTTTATTTCGCGTTTAGCTCTTTCTAGCCCACTTCACGGCGTCTTAATTTTGCGATTTTCAAAGTACTGTGACTTGACTGTAAGTGTTGGTTTCCACCTGTTGCAACTTATTCAAAATTCTGACCAAATTGCGATTTGTTTTATAAAACAAAACTTCAACTGGTCAGAAATTTGAACAAAAGAGGGACGAAAGATACCAGAGGGACAGTCAAACTCATAGATCGAAAACAAACTGACAACGCCATGGCCAAAAATAAAAAGACAAACAGACAAATAATAGTACAGATGACACAACATAGAAAACTCAAGACTAAGCAACACGAACCCCACCAAAAACTGGGGGTGATCTCAGGTGCTCCGGAAGGGTGAGCAGATCCTGTTCCACACGTGGCACCCGTCGTGTTGCTCATGTTATTACAAATCCGGTAAATTGTACGTTTGTTTTTTCTACATTGGCTAGAGGTATAGGGGGAGGGTTGAGATCTCAAAAAACATGTTTAACCCCGCCGAATTTTTGCGCCTGTCCCAAGTTAGGAGCATCTGGCCTTTGTTAGTCTTTTATCATTTTTAATTTTAGTTTCTTGTGTTTAATTTGGAGTTTAGTATGACGTCCATTATCACTGAACTAGTATACGTTTTTGTTTAGGGGCCAGTTGAAGGACGCCTCCGGGTGCGGGAGTTTCTCGCTGCATTGAAGACCCATTGGTAGCCTTCGGCTGTTGTCTGCTCAATGGTCGGGTTGTTGTCTCTTTGACACATTCCCCATTTCCATTCTAAATTTATATTCGGTAGGTCACATTCGTGAAAAGGGAAGGGTATTGTAGTTACGACATAAGGAACATATCCGATATCATCTGTGAAACGATTATTCCATAACGGTCAACCAACTCGTGATGGTGTCCGTAAAGTTTACGAAGGGATGATTTCAACTTCACCATTTGGAATTCTTGGTTTAATAGCTTCCTTGTGAGCAGCAAAACCACAGTCAAGTCGTGCAAGTGCAAGGTGATAAAATTAGGCATTCTTACAATCCTATAAGACTTTAATTTCACTTCAATGCTACTGTGACTTGACTGTTAGTGTTGCTCTCTACCTATTGCCTATTGCAACTTATTCAAAATTCTGACCAAATTGCAATTTGTTTAATAAAAACCAAACTGTTTAACTGGTAAGAAACTTGAACAAACTGCTGTAGAAAACCTGAGTCAAGTCGTGAAAGTGCAAGGTGATAAAATAAAGCATACTTACAATCCTATAAGACTTTAATTCCACTTCAATGTTATTATGAAAAATTAGTCTAACAGTTTGTATAGAAATTTTATTGTTATTGTCATGCTAAAGGTTATAGGTAGTAATTTTGAATGGCTATAAAAATGTCCAAACTCAGCTTTCATGCAATTTTTCTTTCGAAAAGTCTTCTATTTTCATAAGAATCAGACATCATTTGAATTAAAAAATGTTACCTTCAGTAAAATATGTGTGAAATTACAATACGTTGTTAGGAAGTTTCCATGGTAGATAATCAATTTTTCTTTCGAATAGTCTTTTATATTCAAAAGAATAATGTTTTAGGTTATCTCCCATGGAAACTTATTTACAACGTATTGCAATTTCACATATATTTTACTGAATATAAGATGTTTTAATTCAAATGATGTCTGATTCTTATCACCTTTAGCATGACAATAACAATAAAATTTTGATACAAAAGAAAATTCTGAATTGTTTACGGAGAATATATCGTCTAAATATATACTTCGATTGTTCAAAATATCTATCATGTTGGGGTCTTATGAAGCAATGTCATCAAATGGAAGATAAATTCAGGAACCAGTTGATTACCAATACTCATTAGTCGCTTATGGAGAAACAAATCTAGGTAATAAACAAAAACTGAAGTAATTGTATGAACTCAAAAAGTGAGCGCGATTAAATGGGTCGACGGGTAAGCGTCTACTGATATGCATGCATCAACCGCCATGCAAATCCACAATTGGTCAAAATGTCATAATGGTAAATAAGACACAATCGGTAAAATTACAGATCAGACTACTATTTTGGTATCTAAAGTTGTGCGAGCGCAACAAACATTCTGGTTGTAAGTTGAGACACAAACATATCGTATCGGTCAACCAATTCGTGTTGTATCCGTTAAACTTATGTAGTGTCGATTTCGGACGTTCTTCTTCATAACTCTGTCGGAACACGTTATGTGTAAGGATCACAAACTTGTTAATTCAAATTGCATAATGTACCATGAGGGTCTAAATGGGATTTACATTTTGAATTATTTTACACGTGTCATTTCTGGGCCTTTTATAGCTGACTATGCGGTAGGATTTGCTCATTGTTGAAGGCCGTAACCTATAGTTGTTAACTTCTACTTCATTTGGTCTCTGGTAGAGAGTTGTCTCATTGGCAATCATACTACATATTCTTAGTTTTATATTGGATAAGCGTCTTTCCTTTGTATCAATTTTCCCCCATGAGAGTTATGATATATCTACTCTGTGTAAAACACTACCACATTATCTTAGCAATGAAATTATCTTACAATGAAACTATGCGTAAGTATATTTGATGTAGTTACCATTCATTCCTTTTTCAGTAATAAAACTTATAAAAAAATATACCTGGACATGCAGAGAAATCATTAAAGCAATTTGTATTTAACTTGATATTATTGTGTGTTGCATTTGTGCTTACTACCGATATAATTTTTAGTGTGTTCTATTATTATGATAATTCTGTAGATGTCTTTTGGATTTTAGTGTCGATGAGTTGCTGTCTCATTGAAGTATACTCCCATCTCCATTTATTAATAGGATAAAGTGTTACAACTTTTTTGTTTGCTATGTTGTTTGTGTATGTGTGATGATATTTAACCGATTATTTAAATTCTTTTATAATAATGGTTTTCCATTGTGCCAAAACGATAATACCGGATACGAATATTTTAATAATGCATTCTTTTAAGAAAGGAACACACTTCCTGGATATTGTGTTACGAAAAACAAACTTTAACTTTAGTTAACATAGAAATCAGTAAACAGTTAATACATTACACGTCTTGATTTTAATTACAAGTGTTTTGAATGTCAGAGAAAAAAGAGATTAATATGAATAATAACACTATTCTCAATAATATAACTTTATCAGAATGGAACGAGGAAATAACAAACAGCCTATTGCCAAATATTATCATACTTTCCGTTTATCTTGCACTTGGTACATGTGGAAACGTGTTTGTGTTGTTGGTTTATGCGTTTCAGATGAAGAAGCCATCAGATGAAAGATATTTCATACCAGTTTTAGCTTTTTTTGATATGGTAGCAACAATATATCTTGGAGTTCATTATATATTTCAGTGTTTCAATCAGACGACATTTTCAAACAACATTCTATGCAAGACACTCGTGTATTTTGTTGCAAGTACTACTTATACGTCAGTTTTCATATTATCTATAATTGCAATTCAGAGATACATGAAAGTATGTATGCCTCTGAAACCATCCATGTCGATTTCTATTAAAAGATGTGCATTGTTTGTGGCAATTATCATATCATTGCTTTTATCTTTAACGTTACCATTTGTATATGGTACCATTCCATACCACAGCATTAAGTACGGAACCTTGGGAATGAGGTGTGGAAGATTGAAAGAAGGAAACGCTTTTACCAGTACTTTATATTCCGTTGGTACCGGTACGCTGGTCTTTGTCGTGGTAACATTACTTATTATCCTCTATGGCAGAATTCTAAAAAAGGTGTTTCGTAGCTTAAAAATACACAAAAACGACATAAATGGTGATAAAAAAGAAATCGAAAAAGTTGATGAGGACGACAATTGTCGTGATATTGGTTGTAATGATATTGAGATGTCAGAAACTAAGCCAGACTCAGTAGAACAGCAGGGCATTATAATTCGTCCTGTAGCAAATAATTTGGAATCAGCTGTATCCAGAAAACGGAGAATAATCAATCGTCGAATAACCAACAAACTCACGTTTATGTTTTTTATTATCACTACCGTATTTATTCTTAGTTATATACCAAAGGTGATAGTCCTGTGTCTTGATGGAATCTACAAAGATTTTTGGGAAAATCTCTCCACCTCGCAAAGACCTGCTGTGACATTCCTATACCATATCTTCATTATCAATAATATAGTAAACCCTATAATTTACGCTTTTATGGACATGGAGTTTCGCGATAATGCAGCAATATTATTGAAACGCATGTTCATTAATCCTTGTTTTTGCATTGGAAGAATTCGTGTGTAATATCAAATGTGTTTATGAAAAAAGTTTGTTATGGATTGATTTTTTTTAAATCTAACCGTCCGCAACGAATTGTGGGCAACATGGAATATACCAAGTGGACTGAAGAAAATGTATTTTTAATTCATGTACCCGAATTGATAGTTCGTTTGAACCATTACGTTGCTTGATTCAAAGCAAGTATCATAGATTTCGAAATCATATATAAAACGTCTGATCGTTTCATTTTTGCACAATAAAGCTGCAGTTGTGAACTATGATTGTTGGCTTATCACAGAAATATGAAAAATTTACATTATCGGAAAACTTATTAACCCAAATGCGCACGAATGGAGGACCAAAGTTAAATCTACATATCACCGATGCTTTTTTTAATCGGTTTATTAATTAATATTATGAAAAGTAAAGTAAACTCGATTTTACAGTTTAAAAGTTGTTGATTTTATGCTTCGATTTGGAAACATTTTACTATATTAAGTTTCTGCTTCAATGTATTTCAACAAAAAAAAATACATAAGCGGCGGATTCAGGCAGGCCCCCCAAACACCCCCCCCACACCCCCCCCCCTTTTCCCCCCATTAAAATTTGCACAGTGTGGGTTGTCCTCAGCTTAATAATAAATACAGATTATGGGTTTGATAAAGCCTCAGCAAACGTGACTGATATCAAAATACTCACAGATGGCTGAAACAGAACAATTGTAATTGATTGATATACGGTAACAATTAACTTGTTTTTACTGTTAAGTATATAATAATAGACCAGGATGTAACACAATCCTATAGACAAACATTTCTGCTAAACAAATGGACTTCTTCAGTTTCAACGATTTGATCAAATTCAACACAATAGGTGTTTATATGAACAATTATCTCGTATATTTAACTTTTAAAAATAGTTTGTTCCTTGTGAAATATAAATCGGAATGGATAAAAGTGAACAAAAATTTAGTCTTGTTTTGCTAGTTGGCTTCTATCAAGTACACCTGTCTAAGGCAAATATAAGGTACCCATATCAGGATAAGTATTCAAAATAGAGCAAGGACTATGCAAGACAAATGCTTAGCACATAAATGTAAATAATAATAGAAAATTCAAAACTTCAAACACGACAGAACACAAACAATCTCGAACTACCACACAAATCCAAAATGAGAAACGGTTCTCTAGAAGTGAAAGCATCGCCTTTAGTTTATCTAATTTGTTATTGACCAACATTTTATAAAAGTATTCTGCCTTTGCAACAGAATTGACAAAATAAAAAAGAAAGTATCTATAGAAGGACGGTATATCCCATTCCAAAGGTGGAATGGCAGTTTCATGGAGCTATAAATCTCATCATGTATTATCTAAACTTCTTCAATACCTACAATAGAAAAGACAAACCGTTTTCGCCATCAAACATTTGGCAAGAGCAAAGTTAAATGTTAACTTATCGAAAGCAGAGTCGAATTGCTGGCATTGGAATCTGAATAAATATAATATAATTATATCTGTTGATTAAAATAGTAAAATCGATATTACCAGAAACTTGAATAACAATGAATATTTGTGATTATTCAATAATTTACTTAATCTAATAGAAAAATTACATAGAGCTCATTTTGAATAAAAAAGCATATTCACCGGAGAAAAAGTATATTCACCGCGGGAAATTGTGTAAGCGGTTTATTTTTAGATTTCGGGAAATTCCCTATTTATATTATCCAATGAAAATTAATCTGCCATTTCTCACGAGACATTGTCGTCTGTTTACATCAACAACAAAAATGGCAGGTGTTGACACCGGCTCGTCTCAAATGTACAGAAACCACGCTTTACAAGTGTTAACGACAAAAAATGTCAACAAATTATAAGGGATAAAGACTCGATGAACACTCAAAAGGCAACTAAAAGATCAGTAAAGCTATTTACAAATTATCTCGAGGAGAAAGACATGCCTACTGACATAGAAAACTATCCTGTCAAAGAACTTGACAGTGTCCTATCAAAATTTTATGCAGAAGCAAGGAATAAAAATGGGGAGCTGTATAAAACGACAACATTAAAAACACTAGATACGGGATTAATAGGTATTTAACTGAAAAAAGAGATATTGACATTCTCAAAGACCCGGACTTTATGAAATCAAATAAAATGTTCAAGGCGATGTCGGTTCAGCTAAAACGTGATGGCTTAGGAGGGATTGAACATTATCCTCCAATTGATGAGGATCATATTAAGACAATATATAGTTCTCTAACACAAATGGATCCAGTGTCTCTTCAACACAAGGTTTTTGTTGATTTAATGTTGTACTTTGGTCGACGAGGACGGGAAAATCTCAGAGATTTAAAAGTAAAGGACTTTGAATTTTCCAAACAAGGTGGTGGTGATAAAAAACATAGATATATAAGAATACAACCAACGGGATGAACTAACAAAAAATCACAAGGAAGATACAAATACTGCAGTTGGGAAAATGTATGAGGTGAAAGGTAGGTACTTCACTTAAATAATCACTGTATAAATACTAAGAAAGTTACAAAAAAATACACTCAGGGATGACGATTGAATAAAACATTACGACCTAAGGAATAAAAGGAAGTACAGCAGTCCATAAAACAAAACAAAAATTAAAATTGATCAATTTGAACTCAGGTGCTCCAATTTATGGTGATACATATGTCCTTCATTCTATAAACAAATACAAATTCAATATGTTAGTAATGAAAACACATTCAAAATAACATTAATTACGTCAAAATATGATCTAAGATGTCTGTTATCTTATAAAATGTAGATTTTATTTTATTTCATTGCAGTTTGTAGGTACACACTACACAGAGTAATATTTTAGCATTGAACTGTAATTTTGATTCCTTATTGACCAATTTATTGTAAATTTTCAGATGATGTTAAGTGTCCAGTTAGGAGCTTCATAAAGTATACAACCAAACTTAACAAAAACTGTGAATATTTCTTCCAAAGGCCAAAAACCACCATAAACGATGACTCTGTGTGGTACGATGCGTCGCCATTAGGACATAACACCCTGGGTGGTATGATGCCAGTGATATGTGAAAAAGCAGGTCTTGTGAAAAGATACACTAACCATTCACTTCGCGCAACAACTGTTCATGTTTTGGATGAGGCTGATTTTGCCGGAAGGCATATTATGTCAGTAACAGGTCACAAAAGTGAAAATTCTTTAAAAACATATACAGGATTTACATCAGATCGTGCACTGAATAACATGTCAAATGTTATTAGTGAAAGTCTTCGGACAGATGCTACATCTACAACTTCTTGTGAAAAACCTACTGCAGTTCCTGATCGTAATGAAGAAGAAATGGTCCAAATTGAAAATGACACTGACATTATTGACTTTATGCTTTTATCTGATTCACAAATGGATAATTTATGCCAAGATATTACTAATCCTAACTCTTCACATAGACCGGTGGCTACTTGTGAACAGCAACAACATGTAAATGTTAATAAAACAGCAACATATTCAAGCTACTCATGTATTAACAATTTTGGAAATGGATATCCAAATTATCCCGTCATTATAAACAATTATGGGAATATCAATATCAACTACAATATTATTCCAAAGTAAACTGTTTAATAGATATTTTGTGTTTAAACAGTGTGTCAAAGAAACTGTGATTATTGCAAATAACATCTAAATATCTGTTTTCAAGTCTGTTCTCTAATTTTTGCAAAATTAAATTTGTGTTGGTATTAAAAGATTACTTTTGATTATTATTCTTACATAAAAACAAACAAGGTATATTTCAGGGAGACTTAACTATTAGCAAACCACAAAAATACCCAATAAATTGTCAAAAAAACAATTAAACATACATGCACATATATATATGGGGTAAATATCAAGGACAACACACTCTTTATTTTCTGTATTATTGAATAAAACAATCATTGTCTTTTGTTTCGGTAAATATGTGGTTTTATTGACTTTTGAAAAAACTGATATTCACTTCGGCCGTTGGCCTCAGTGAATATCAGTTTTTTTCAAAAGTCAATAAAACCACATATTTACCTCACCAAAAGACAATAATTGTATAATATTTTCCCAAGTAAACACGAGTTTGCGAACAATGAGAATGGTTAGATGTCTAACTTATTTTTCCCATGTATTTCACATTTACTGGATAAAATGAATTGCAGTAGCAAAGATTCAGTATTTGTACTGGAAATTAGACAACTATCAGCCAAAGATCAAAGCACAATAATTTAAAAAACACAGGTCACCGTACGGCCTTCCACAACGACCAACCAATACATATCGAACATATTTATCAAATGCCATTCTATTTCCTATTTCAGATTTGATTTAGGGTAAACTGGAGATAATACATAAATAACACATAGCTGAGAGGGTGATAGAGCAGATTGTCACCCCGAAAAAGCATTGTCAACTGAGACGAAGCCAAGGTTGACAATGTCTTTTCGAGAGGTAACAATCTGCTCTATCACCCTCTCAGATATGTGATATTTAATTTATTATACTGAATGTTCTGTTATTACTGTCGATTAAATTTCAAATCCAAAGTAAACTATGACGTCTTGTACATAACAACCATCCGTATTTGATAAAGCGCACACTTGATCAAGCGTCTCCGTGAAGAGTAATAGAGTATTTGCCATAGGATAGAGTCGTATTGAATAAAGCGCACACTTGATCAAGCGTCTCCGTGAAGGGTAATACAGTATTTACCATAGGATAGAGTAAATTGTCTCCCTCGTATTAACCAATCAAAATCTGGCATTTTGACATGAAGTAAAATAATTCAATTTGTATAATATTCCATCACCCGTTAAAATGCATTATACGTAAGATACTTACTAACAATGTCACTTGTAGAGCAAAAACTGATTACCCTTTGGATGCACTTAGGTTCCCTCGATTTCTTTTTGGTGGGGAATGCGTTGCTCAATCTTAAGGTTTCTGTAACATGTTTATTATATTGCCGCGAAGTTGTCTATTTTCTTCGACCTATGGTTTTGATAATTTGATTCACTTTTATTTACCTTAAGTTTACCGACAATATAGATAATGATGCTTATCTTGGCGTCATTAATATAGTAAAGTTAATTTAAATAGCAATTTTAACTGTACAAAATCTTTGGACGTCTTGAATAAGAGTCTTTCATGCGTATCAAGATGTTCCCGTTGACATTTATGATGTATCTACTTTGTCAAGCCATATTATTTCTTATGCAGCAAAAATACTGCAATCTGATTGGTTAATTATCCCGGTGTTAGTAACACCTTACCCTTGTTCACCCCGGGATAAATAAAATCTTGCCAAAAAATTTAAAAAAATAAAATTTTGCCAAAATGAAGAATAAAAAAAAATGAAATGTCAATAAAAAAAAAATCAATAAAATGTCCAAAAAAATTAAAAATTAAAACATAAATAATTTTGAGGAAAAAATTGAAAAAAAATTGAAAAAAATATTTAAATAAAATTTTTTCCCAAAAATTCAAAAGAATCCCAAAACTAAAGAAAAAAGGATTTGACAAAGCGCATCAACATCGACGTTGAAAAAATGTTACACTGGAAATTTTCATTACCATTTTTCAATTTTACATCCTGGTTTAAAAATGAGTAAAGGAATTGTTCATAAGAAATAAATTCGTTATCTTGGTGTAATCAGGAGTGTACGGAATTTTACACCGTTGTTGAAAATTCATACACTCATTCCGCTGGTGTATGAATTTTCAACAACGGTGTAAAATTCTGTACACCCCTGATTACACCAAGATAACTAATATTATCTTGGCAAACACCGAGATTTTCCAATTTAACATGTTTAATGAAATTGTCTTACAATGAATCTAGGTGTAACTATAATCAATGTAGCTACCATTCCGTTATCAGTGATAAAACTTTCAGAGAAATTATTCAAACAAATTATATCTTACCTGGTGATATTATTGTTTGTTGCTTTTGTTTTACCACCAATATAAGTTTAGTGTGTTGTTCTGTAATGTTACACCCTTTCCCTACGTTTGGGAATGGTAGAGCACTTACAAAAATCAAAACAACACTTTAAAAATGTCATTCGTCCGAATCGCTTGTTAGGATTTACATTTATCATGAAAGCTCAAAGCCGAATATTTGAAAGCCAAGGAGGTATAAGAACCGAAACAGTTGAAGAGCTATATGACCATAATTAAACATAAATAAATAGCCAAATCCATGTAAGGTTAACTTTGTTTTACCCTGCCAAATTCTTTATGTAACTGTCTACAGCCATGAATCTGCATCCCATTGTTTTCCTTTAGTTGCTATTTGTTATAATCGCTTTTCGTTTATTATTTTAGCATAATTCCGGTCTTTCGGTTTTCCTTTTTGTTTCACATCTTGTCTGTGTGTTGCCTTTTGTATGTTACATTTTAAACATTGTTTGAGGACGTACAGTGACCTGTATTTGTGCACATTCTTTTCCTTTGGTCTTTAGTTGATAGTTGTTTCATTGGAAATCATACAACATCTCATTTTTTTTTACTTATTATGAAAGAATAGGATTTCATCTGAAGGATTTTTAAAAGGTTGTAGTTAACAAAAGCTCTCTAGGTAATTTTATGTTTAAAGCCAACAACATCATAAATCTTCCATTTATTGGTTCTTATTTACTTATTTATTGATAAAGAATTACACCTATGCTATTCAAATATGTTCTGCGATCAATTTCACAACAAATCGTAAGAGAAAAATATTCTTAGAGTCATGACCATTTCGGTATCACTTATGATAAATTTTTGTCGTAAGATTTTTTGTGAAAAGAGCTGCTTGTCTTTTGAGGATGCAAATAATTTCGCAGATTGATAGTTTTAAACAATTCTTAAATGTTCGCAGTGGCGGATCCAGGATTTTAGGTTAGGGGGGCGCAAACTTAAATTTTCGCCGAGCGGAGCGAGGCAATAATTGTTTTTGAGGTAAAATTATCAAAATATTCTTTATTAAGCTGAGGACAACCCACGCTTTGAAAATTTAAGGGGGGGGGGGGTGCACGCCCGCACGCTCCCGCCTGAATCCGTCCCTAGTTCGTTTTATTTTCCTCCTTTGAAATTATATACTGTTTAGTTATGGCCATCGCACAAGATCGTGTCTTTCTGTATTGTTTATGATATTACTGTTAACTTCTTTAACGTTAAGATAAATGTTAAAACATCAAAACACAAAATCACAAACTAATAAAAACTTTTAAAAGACTGAAAAGGTTGGCTAAAATTTTCGAGTTTTTGTCCAGCAAGGGTTCTTTGAAAAATATTAACACGTCCAGCTCAAACTAGAAAACGTCCTTTTGTGGTCTGAACGTTTTATGGCCTCTAGATGTCTTTTGGTTTTTAGTTTCGCTGAGTTGATTTCTCATTGAGATAAACCCCACATTTCCTTTTATTCTTAGGATAAAGTATTGTATATTATTCATTATTGCAATTCAGAGATACATGGAAGTATGTATGCCACTAAAACAACCCATGTTGATTTATGTGAAAAGAACTATATTGTTACTGGCACTTTCTATGTCCTTGATTTGCGCTTTGCCGTTACCATTCGTATTTGGTACCACTCCTTTCCACAATATTGACTATGGAATCTCAAGAAAAGAAACAAAACAGCTGATGTAAACGAAAATGATCTAGTCGTTAATATTTTAAAAGTATAGAAATGATAAACATAACAGACAAAACAGCAAAAAATTTAGCAACACCAGAAACTAGGCCAAATCAAGGAGGACAGAATGTCATTGAAAGTCCTGTTGAAAATAATATCGAATCATCTGCAATAAGAAAAATAAGAATAACCAATCGTCGAATAACCTATAAACTAACAGAAATGTTCTTTATTATTACTACAGTATTTTTTACTTAGTTATATTCCGAAGATGACATTAATGTTCTTTAAAAGAATCTACGAAGATTTTTGGGGAAAACTATCAGCTTCGCATAGACCTCGTATGACGGTCCTATACCATATCTTCATTCTCCATAATATAGTAAACCCTATAGTTTACTATTTTTTTGACATCGAGTTTCGCCAAGATGCAGCATTGTTGTTGAAACGTATGTTCATTAAGCCATGTATTTGCTCTAGAGGAATTCAACTGTGATATCAAATGTATCAAATATGTAAGTAAAAATTGTATCATCAATTCAGGAGTCCAACACGATTTTATTCTAAGTACAATATTGGTGTAAATGATCCAGTGATATAAAAACCTGCAGTGGTGAACTGTCGTTGATTACTTACCAGAGAGAGATGAAAATTTGGTATAATAGTAAAACAAATACGAACGTATGGATGGTTAAGGGTAAATCTGACTCAGACTCAAGGGATTTTCACACCTTTATAAAGTGAAAAGTAAGATTTCCTAAATGGGAGTTTGTCATTTGGACTTCCTCCAATAACAAGTTGTTGTATGAAGAGCTTTGATTTGTAAATATATTACTATATTCAGATTAACATAGATATCATGGAATATAAAGTAGACTGTATTCAACACAGTTCATCCATTAAACATATCGCATATTCATTATAACACAGTGTGGATACGTATAGGATTTTACAGTCAATTTAATTTTCCGGTATTTTACAAATGATTTTATTAAAATTCTTGCGGGTAAAATGAATATTATAACCTCTATTGAAATTTATTTATGTATGTAGAATTTTCATTATTCATTTCATTTATATGTACAATAAGCATGATAAGTC